ACATCATCATGTCTGACCCAGACCTTCCTACTGAACACATCATGTCTGACCCAGACCTTCCTACCTACCACATCATCATGTCTGACCCAGACCTTCCTACTGACCACATCATGTCTGACCCAGACCTTCCTACTGACCACATCATGTCTGACCCAGACCTTTCTACCGACCACATAATGTCTGACCCAGACCTTCCTACCTACCACATCATCATGTCCGACCCAGACCTTCCTACCGACCACATCATCATGTCTGACCCAGACCTTCCTACTGACCACATCATGTCTGACCCAGACCTTCCTACTGACCAAATCATCATGTCTGACCCAGACCTTCCTACTGACCACATCATGTCTGACCCAGACCTTCCTACCGACCACATCATCATGTCTGACCCAGACCTTCCTACTGACCACATCGTCTGACCCAGACCTTCCTACTGACTACATCATGTCTGACCCAGACCTTCCTACCGACCACATCATCATGTCTGACCCAGACCTTCCTACCGACCACATCATGTCTGACCCAGACCTTCCTACCGACCACATCATCATGTCTGACCCAGACCTTCCTGCTGAACACATCATGTCCGACCCAGACCTTCCTACCGGCCACATCATGTCTGACCAAGACATTTCTACTGACCACATCATCATATCTGAAGCAAACCTTCCTACTGACCACATTATCTGCCTGACCCAGACCTTCCTACAGACCACATCATGTCTGACGCAGACCTTCCTACCGACCTCACCATCTGTCTGACCCAGACCTTCCTACCGACCACATCATCATGTCTGACCCAGACCTTCCTACTGTCCACATCATGTCTGACCCAGACCTTCCTACTGACCACATCATGTCTGACCCAGACCTTCCTACTGACCACATCATGTCTGACCCAGACCTTCCTACCGACCACATCATCTGTCTGACCCAGACCTTCCTACCGACCACATCATGTCTGACCCAGACCTTCCTACTGACCACATCATGTCTGACCCAGACCTTCCTACCGACCACATCATGTCTGACCCAGACCTTCCTACCGACCACATCATCATGTCTGACCCTCCTACTGACCACATCATGTCTGACCCAGACCTTCCTACCGACCACATCATCATGTCTGACCCAGACCTTCCTACTGACCACATAATGTCTGACCCAGACCTTCCCTACCGACCACATCATGTCTGACCCAGACCTTCCTACCTACCACATCATGTGTCTGACCCAGACCTTCCTACGACCACATCATCATGTCTGACCAGACTTCCTACTGAACAAAATCATGTCTGACCCCGACCTTCCTACCTACACATCATCATGTCTGACCCAGACCTTCCACTGACCAATCATGTCTGACCCAGACCTTCCTACTGACCACATCATGTCTGACCCAGACCTTTCTACCGACCACATAATGTCTGACCCAGACCTTCCTACTACCACATCATCATGTCTGACCCAGACCTTCTACCGACCACATAAACATGTCTGACCCAGACCTTCCTACTGACCACATATGTCTGACCCAGACTTCCTACTGACCACATCATGTCTGACCCAGACCTTCCTACGACCACATCATGTCTGACCAGACCTTCTACCGACCACATCATCATGTCTGACCCAGACCTTCCTAACTGACCACATCATCATGTCTGACCCAGACCTTCCTACTTACCACATCATGTCTGACCCAGACCTTCCTACTTACCACATCATCATGTCTGACCCAGACTTCCTACCGACCAACATCATGTCTGACCCAGACCTTCCTAGACCAAAGTCGACCTTCACCGACCACATAATGTCTGACCCAGGGCCTTCCTACCTACCTCATCATGTCTGACCCAGACCTTCCTACGACCACATCATATGTCTGACCCAGACCTTCCTACTGACCACATCATGTCTGACCCAGACCTTCCTAAAGACCACACATCTGTCTGACCCAGACCTTCGTATCGACCACATATCATGTCGACCCGACTTCCCTGACACTCAGTGCCAGATCTTCCTACCGACCACATCATCATGTCTGACCAGACCTCCTACTGACACATCATGTCTGACCAGACCTTCTACTTACAAATCATATGTCTGACCCAGACTTCCTACCGACCACATATAATGTTGACCAGACCCTTTCCCACCGACCACATCATATGTTGACCCAAGACCTTCCTACTGACCCACATAATATCTGACCCCATTTACCTTCCTACCGACCACATCATCATGTCTGACCCCAGACCCTTCCTACCTACCACATCATCATGTCTGAACCAGACCTTCCCTACCCGACCACATCATCAGTCTGACCCAGACCTTCCTACTGACCACATCATGTCTGACCCAGATCTTCTACCGACCACATCATCATGTTGACCCAGACCCTTCCTACTGACCCACATCATGTCTGACCAGACCTTCCCTACCTACCAATCATCATGTCGACCCAGACCTCCCTACGACCACATCATCATGTCTGACCCAGACCTCCTACTGACCACATCATGTCTGACCCAGACCTTCCTACCACAATAATGTCTGACCCAGACCTTCCTACCTACCCACATCATCAGTCTGACCCAGACCTTCCTACCTACCATATCATCATGTCTGACCCAGATCTTCCCTACCGACCACATCATGTCTGGCCCAGACTTCCTACTGATCATATTATCATATCTGAAGCAGACCTTCCTACCGTCCACATCATGTCCGACCCAGACCTTCCTGACGACCACATCATGTCCGACCCAGACCTTCCCGCCGACCACATCATGTCCGACCCAGACCTTCCTACCGACCACATCATGTCTGACCCAGACCTTTCTACTGACCACATCATAATATCTGAAGCAGACCTTCCTACTGACCACATTATCTGCCTGACCCAGACCTTCCTACCAACCACATCATGTCTGACCCAGACCTTCCTACCGACCTCACCATCTGTCTGACCCAGACCTTCCTACCGACCACATCATGTCTGACCCAGACCTTCTTACCGACCACATCATCTGCCTGACCCAGATCTTCCTACCTCCACATCATGTCTGACCCAGACCTTCCTACCGACCACATCATGTCTGACGCAGACCTTCTACCTACCACATCATGTCTGACGCAGACCTTCCTACCGACCTCACCATCTGTCTGACCCAGACCTTCCTACCGACCACATCATGTCTGACCCAGACCTTCTTACCGACCACATCATCTGGCTGACCCAGATCTTCCTACCTCCACATCATGTCTGACCCAGACCTTCTTACCGACCACATCATCTGGCTGACCCAGACCTTCTTACCGACCACATCATCTGGCTGACCCAGATCTTCCTACCTCCACATCATGTCTGACCCAGACCTTCTTACCGACCACATCATCTGGCTGACCCAGACCTTCTTACCGACCACATCATCTGGCTGACCCAGATCTTCCTACCTCCACATCATGTCTGACCCAGACCTTCTACCTACCACATCATGTCTGACGCAGACCTTCCTACCGACCTCACCATCTGTCTGACCCAGATGTGTCATAGTCAATTATAGTTCAACTGCACCAATACCCAGACATATTCATCATGTCCTTATTGCATAATCAGCCGTCTTTACTTTCAGAGAATGTTAAGGAGTTGAATGACATAAAATGCATTGATTGGAAAGTACTCGCAATGGTCTTTTGCAAAAAAATAACTATAGTTATATTCATTTTGACGTATATTTTGAACTATAGTCTATTTTGGCCATAGAAGTACAAAAGTAGGGACCCCGAACCACATATATCCTATAAATTACTATGCTCAGAACATCCACAAATGCATTTAGGCCATAGGTCATGATTGTAATATATGATCTGATCAAAATAACAACCGGTAGTAGTACATCACTCCTCTGTGTGTGGGTTGTATGTCAAATCCAGGTGTTCTCATTCGTGTCATTGCAGCGCGGCCCTTGGCGCCTCTCTTGTGAGCGCACAACGGCTCCTAGCGGACAAACGTGGAACAGCAGCAGGGAATAGAATTCCTTCCGTTGCCTGACTGAGCATCCTCTACCAAGTCTCTGAAGCGCGGTCGGGGAAACAAAGGACTTTCTATAAGAATTTATTAGCGCTTAAATTTTAATTACATTTTTCACATAGATGTACAGCAGTCTGGTGATAAAGACATGTGCATGAATTGCCACTTGGCCAGAATACTTGATTGATAATGGAAATCATGAGATTGAGAATTAACACAAACTTTATCAAACATGCGCAAAAGGTTCAAAGATAGAGAGGTGGATTTATTTTGTTATAAAACGAGAACATTTCAGACTGGTGAGTGAGACAATAACCGGAAACGATGGTGTATTAAATATGGACCAGTCATGGAATTTGGCCTCTGGAATGTGGCGCTTTTTCTTCTCTCCCCCCCTCTCACGATAAGCTCGTCCCTTTTTCCTTCCACCATCTGATTGGGCGAGACGCGTTCTTAGGAATGTCAAAAAACTATTTAAATAGCACTTTGTCCCCTGGTTTACAGTTAGGTTCTAGCGTCCGATAGCGGAGAGAATTACCATTCAATTAAAAAAGAACAAGAAACGCTTGAATCTTGTGGATTATTATTGGATTTCCAGTTCTATTTGGATTTTACTATTTCTCTCTGCTGTTTTCAATCAACAGGTGGGTGAGCAATATTTAGATTTTCTTTCAAGGAATCTAGCCAAATATATATTTTTCTATTCTATTCTATTTTATTATAAATAAATAATGTGAAATAATGTGTGAAATAATAATGTGTTTTGATGATTGTTTATTATGATATTTAAAAATGTATTTTATGTATAAATATTAATATAATATAATAATATATGCCATTTAGCAGAAGCGTTTATCCAAAGCGACTTACAGTCATGCGTGCATACATTAACTTTTGTGAAAAGTGGACCTTTGACGTTATATGTTTATTTTTCATAGGTAAAAACCAGGGTTTTACCATGAAGTTGACAGGAATATTTCTGCTATTGATGCTTTGGACCTGCGAGAGCGCACGAGTTGCAGGTGAAATAATTTGCCTGATGTTTGTCTAGAATGGACGGAGTTTGTGGCAATTGCAATGCTTCGACTTGAACATTAAACTACAGAAAAACATATAGGTTTTTTAATGTATTATTAAAACCTCTTAATGTATTGATTTACACTGACAATGGTTTAACATAGAGATCATTTTAGAGTTTATTATTCACAACAACAATAATCCATTCCAAAAGACAGGGTAGACAAAGACGAACTGCTTAAGCTCATTCCCCCGTTCCTCCTGCATACAGAGAGCCGAGACGACAATAGCGTGTACGACCTGTTCGAGCTGGTCCAAGTGCCCAACAAGAACCACGGAGTGACCCTAGTGAAGGGCGACGACCCATACAGTCCCGCCTACAAGATCCTCAACCCGGACCTGATCCCCGAGGTCCCCGAGAGCTCCTTCAGGGACCTCATCGATTCCATCCACGCCGAGAGGGGATTCCTTCTCCTCCTCAACTTCAAGCAGTTCAAGCGGACCAGGGGCTCCCTTCTGACCGTGGAAAAGCGTGACGGATCCGGAGCCGTGTTCGAGATCGTCTCCAACGGGAAAGCGAACACCCTGGATATGGTTTTCTCCACAGTGAATAAGCAACAGGTGGTGTCGATAGAAGATGTGGACTTGGCAACGGGTCACTGGAAGAATATAACGCTGTTCGTGCAGGAGGACCGGGCGCAGCTGTACGTTGGCTGTGAGGAGGTGAATACCGCGGAACTGGACGCTCCCATCCAGAGCATTCTCACTCAGGAGACTCCCGTCACAGCGCGTCTCAGAATCGGGAAGGGAGCGGTGAAGGACCGGTTCATGGTAAGTGAAGCGCACATGCGGAGCGCACGCGATGACGCGTGATGGATTCAGATAATATAAGTTGTCGAGTTGTTTTAGATGTTTAGTAAGTGTTGAATATAGGGTTGTGTAACACTTAAATATTATTATAATATTAAAACTGATAGACCTATGCGTAAAAGTTATACACTGTATTGAAAACCCTTGTAAGTGATCCATAAAGACCAATATTTTTTTTGCATAAAGTAGAGTGATAGTGACTGTGCAGCACTAGAGGTAAAAGGGCCATTGATTCTTGCAGGGGGTGCTCCAAAACGTTCGCTTTGTCTTCGGAACCACTTTAGATGCGATTCTGCGCAACAAGGGATGCCAAAACTGTGAGTAGCATAATCATGAACAGAACGCATCTTTCTGTGTTTATCCATGCATCATTGGTTGTAATGCTAAAGCCAGCAGGACATTCCTAAGAATATGCATGACTGTTTAAAAGCCCCATGGGAAAGTTGCACAAAAAAAAAGGCACGTTTATGTTGCCATGGGAGAGCTGGGAAGTTTACAAACACTTCAATGCCTCCTCAGGGCTGGACACATTAACTCATTATAGATTCAAGATAGTATGATGCTGCAATGTTCTGTAATACCCTAAGTGTAGTTACATATTCTCCACTGTAGTTATGTCACCAATGAGCCCTGGGGACTGTGTGTCTGTTGTGGTCTGATGTGGTGTAGTGGGTATTACCATTACAGTCTACAGCGCTCTAACTGTCTCCCTCTGTGTGTTTTACCCACTCTCTCCTATCTCTCTCTCTCTCATCTTCTCTCTCTCGATCCTCTCTCTCTCTCTTCTCCTCTCTCTCTTCCCTCTCTCACCTCCTCATACCTCTCCCACTCCATCATCTTATCTCTCTCCCCTCCATCCCTCTCTCTCCCAACCTCATCTGGTATCCCTCGGTCTCCCCCATTTCTCACTCGTCCCCTCCTCTCTCCCTGCCACCCCCCCCCCCCTCTCGCTCTCTCTCTCTCTCTCTCTCTCTCCCTCTCTCCCTCTCTTCCTCGCTTCCTCGCTTCCTCTCTCCCCCCTCCCTCTCCCCCTAATTCTACCTCCGTCTCCCCTCATTTATTTCCCTCCCTCGCTCCCTTGCCCCCATTAGCTGTTCTGACTGATAGAATCATCATTATGGACAACCCCATCAATGGGTCCAGCCCTGCCATTAGGACGGACTACACTGGCCACAAAACTAAAGGTAAACACAACAAAACTGCTGGTCTCCATTTAACCTCTCCTCAATAGAGCAGCACAGCACAGAAGTATTAGAAGAAAGTAAAAGCATTATATTCTATTGTCAACAGTTGTCTGTAGCTGTAGGGAGTTGAAAGTAAGTCTGGAAGCCTTCATGTACATTGATAGTCACACTATGTTTCCATAGAATGAATGTATCTCTATGGTGTTGTCCTTTCCTCCAGACCTGCAGATGATCTGTGGGTTCTCCTGTGAGGCCCTGGCTGGCATGTTCAAGGAACTGCAGGGGCTTGGAGTGGTGGTGAAGGAGCTGTCCAACGAGCTGCGCAAAGTGGTGAGGAAACACACCAGCCTCCTGAACCAGACTCCTGCCATATGTCTGTCTGCCTGTCTGTCTGTCTGCCTGTCTGTCTGTCTGCCTGTCTGCCTGTCTGCCTGTCTGCCTGTCTGTCTGTCTGCCTGTCTGCGTGCCTGTCTTTCTGTCTTTCTGCCTGTCTGCCTGTCTGCCTGTCTGCCTGTCTGCCTGTCTGCCTGCCTGCCTGTCTTTCTGCCTGCCTGTCTGCCTGTCTGTCTGTCTGCCTGTCTGCGTGCCTGTCTTTCTGTCTTTCTGCCTGTCTGCCTGTCTGCCTGTCTGCCTGTCTGCCTGTCTGCCTGCCTGCCTGCCTGCCTGTCTGTCTGTCTGTCTGTCTGTCTGTCTGTCTGTCTGTCTGTCTGTCTGTCTGTCTGTCTGTCTGCCTGCCTGCCTGTCTGTCTGTCTGTCTGTCTGCCTGTCTGTCTGCCTGTCTTTCTGCCTGTCTGTCTGTCTGTCTGTCTGTCTGTCTGTCTGTCTGTCTGTCTGTCTGTCTGTCTTTCTGTCAGTCTGTCTGTGGCATGAGACTGCAACAAACAGTTGGTCTGCCACTGCATGTGGGCCTTGCTTATTATACTGGTCTACCAGTATGAAACCCTTAAGGGACTGAGCACTCTTCTCATATCGTATTCATACTGATTGTCTCATATCTGTCTGCTTCCTTCCTCCTTCCTTCCTTCCTACCTCCTTCAGACGGATGAGAACAAGCTGTTGATGAACAGAGCGGGGATCCACAGTGGAGTCTGTCTGCACAACGGCATCGTCCACAAGAACAAGGCCGAGTGGACCGTCGACGACTGCACTGAGTGCACTTGTCAGGTAAGGACCGAAGTCGAGAGACTGTGGTGTGTGTGTGTATGTGTGTGTGTGTGTGTGTGGGGGAGGGGGGGGGTTCAAGCCTATGTGGCACTTGCAGACGGCCACTTGCAAACACACACTCATCCCCCACTCAGCAAGCGCCTGCTCGCTACTCCAGACCTCTGTCATCTGGCCAGTCATTGCGTAGGAGGAGGAGGCTAGCATCAGGGCCAACAAGCCAACAGTGGGTGCTGTAGTGAAGTGAACGTGGGCCCAGGCCTACCACTCTAGGGAACAGACAGACAGACAGACAGACAGACAGACAGACAGACAGACAGACAGACAGACAGACAGACAGACAGACAGACAGACAGACAGACAGACAGACAGACAGACAGACCACACACACACACACCATGACATACACTGAGTGTACAAAACCCCCTGATGAGCATGAAAAACCCAGCAACATTGCAGCTCTTGACACAAACCGGTGCGCCTGGCATCTACTACCGTATGCCGTTCAAAGGCACTTCAATCTTTTGTCTTGCCCATTCACCCTCTGAATGGCACACATACACAATCCATGTCTCAATATTATCAAGGCTTAAAAATCCTTCTTTAACCTGTCTCCTCCCCTTCATCATGGAAAGAGCAGGTGTTAATATTTTGTACACTCAGTATATACAATACTGTTGTCATAGTGTGGCTGCTGATGTAAAAAGGGCTTTATAAAATACTTTTGATAGATTTTTTTTTTACCACCTACCCGAGTAAAAAAAAAAAAGTTCCTCTACGTTCAAGATTAGTGAAATCTTTTAGGACTACAATAGAAACCAGTTTCCAAATCCGTGTTCTTCAAGTTCAGGAAATGACCTCGTCCTTTGTCACTCTCTCTGCCCCTCTGTAGAACTCTGCCACTGTGTGCCGCAAGATCTCCTGCCCGCTGATCCCCTGTGCCAACGCCACCATGCCCGATGGAGAGTGCTGCCCGCGCTGTGGAACACGTTAGTACCTCCATTCACTATTCTCCAATGTTCCAACCCTAGAATTAGACTGAACGGTTCTGATTCTATGGTTCTATTTGTGTGGTTCCAACTTCCAACAAAACTATTAAGCTCCCAGGAAGTAACATACCTGCACAAACAAAGGTTTACAGTATACTACTGTATTATCAACCCAAACCTTCTTCTGTTTTACTGTAAATCCATGAATGGCCTGAGTTGTCCTAAGGCTTAATGTATCGAAGACAAACAGGCCATTTAAAACAGCATTACATTCACTGCTAGCTATTTGGACCTTCTTCACCAAATAAAGCATGAAACCACAACAACTTATCTGGATGTAAAGGTTTCTATTCAAGAAAACGGAATTCATTTTAAGGGTGATTTAAGTCCCCTAGCTTGTCAACGTATGAGTGTGTCAGAACATTGACGCATTTTCCACCTAAAACATCTTTGAATCTTCAACTTTTAATGGCTATAATTTGGCCAAATTGGTTAATGTGGGATGGAAAATTGGTGGGCTCTTTAGCGAAGCCATCCTACACACAAGAACAAGTGACATTTTCCTACATACCTAAGAAGGCTGGGCAGCAGTGGCCCCTCGAATCTAAAGACACATGGAGAACCACTACCTTGGTCACTGAAGGTTTTGACATGATCAAGAACCCTGGAATGAGCTAATTCAAGTCTCTCTTTAAAGTAACAACAGTCAATGGGGGATCCCAGTAAAATTCCTAGAAGGACTTTTCCATTTCCACCGGCTTCCCTTTGGGCTTTCTCCTGCTCCTGAAATCCCTGGAGTGGGCCATCTCTCTGACTTTATCAACACACACACACGCATATGCACTTACACACACACACACACACACACACACCCCAGGGCTAAACTCAGTACATTAGACCGGAGCTCTAAGAACTTTAAGAGCTTATAACCCTCACTTTCTGCTTGGGGTCTCTGCAGTCCAATAGCTCTCTCATTGACTTCCCCTCTCTCCTCCTCCTCCTCGCTCCTTCCCTCTCTCCCCTCCCTCCCCTTCCATCTACCCTCGCTCTTCTCGGCCGCTCCAGCTCTCTCTAACCCCACCTCTACATCGAACCTCCTTCATCACCTCCTTCCGCCTCTACCTACTCACCTCTCACCTCCCTCCTCTTACTCCTTCTCTCTACCTCCTTCCTCCTCTACCTCCTTCCTCTCTACCTCCTTCCTCTACCTCCTTCCTCTACCTCCTTCCTCTCTACCTCCTTCCTCCTCTACCTCCTTCTCTCTCTACCTCCATAGCGAGTGACTATGCGGAAGATGGTTGGTCCCTGTGGTCTGAATGGACCCACTGTTCCGTGTCCTTGTGGGCGTGGGCAATCCCAGCAAGAGGGCCGCTACTGCGATCGCAATAACAACAACTGCGAGGGAACCTCCGTCCAAACCAGGGACTGCTACCTTCGGGAGTGTGACAAACGCTGTGAGTTCAGTATACACGTTACAAACGACCAAACAAATCACATTCATCAATCGTCACACAGAAACTTTTATCACAGATTTTTATCACAAACTTTTGTAGTTTCATAAATGTATCAATGGTGACAGAAACGATAGATCTGCACCCACATCCAGGATCCAGCCGCAGATCAGCCTTCTGTGACTCTACAGAGCAACAACTCACTGCCATTTCACTTTAACTTATTTTACCCTTGTTTTGACTGGACAATGACCTATAGCATGACAATGACCCATAACCAAGTTTCTCATTGACCCCTGACCTCTATAACCTCTGACCTCTGTGCTCTGTGTCCTTCCAGTCAAGCAGGACGGTGCCTGGAGCCACTGGTCCCCCTGGTCATCCTGCTCGGTCACCTGTGGGGCGGGTGTCATCACCCGTATCCGCCTCTGCAACTCCCCAACACCCCAGCTGGGAGGCAAGGACTGCCAGGGAGAGGGAAGACAGACGGAGAGGTGCACCAAGTCACCCTGCCCCAGTGAGTGCCATTAGTCACAGGCTTTTATGCAACAAGACCTGGGTCAAATACATATGCTATCATCTCCGTTTGACATTATTCAAAGCCTTTTCATGCACACCACACCGTGAGATGTTTCTATTCAAATGCATCATCTCAATCCTCATCTTATGCGTACATTGTCAGTTAACCTTGATAGCAGATTGTCTCTGTTTCTTGTTTGGCAAGTCAACAACCAAGAATTTGTCTAAAGAAGAAACAAAACTGGCACCCAGGCTACTTGCCATTGTGTCTATTTAATACAACACAGACCCTACTACCCCCACTAAGGACACCACGCACACCCGCACACCTGCACACCTGCACACCTGCACACCTGTACACCTGTACTGACCTGTACTGTCTCTCTTCTTCTCTCTCAGTCAACGGTAACTGGGGACCCTGGTCGCTATGGGATACCTGCTCTGCCACCTGTGGAGGAGGAGCCCAGACGCGTAAACGTCTCTGCAACGACCCCACCCCCAAATATGGTGGCAAGGAGTGCCAGGGTGACTCCAAGGCCACTCAGCTGTGCAAGAAGAACGCCTGTCCTGTCGGTGAGTAGCAGGCACTGGCTGTGTCCTAAAGGGCACCCTATTCTCTATATAGTGCACTACTTTTGACCAGAGCTCTATGGTCAAAAGTAGTGCACTAGGGAATAAGGCGCAGTGCACAGCCAATGTATCTTATAACTCCTACATGCTTTGAATGAGTTGCTCAAATTGTAGGTTTTAGACCGTTTTAAGGTATAGTAACACGTTCAAAATATTACTTTTAATGCTTTTAGGGCTTATTAAAGCCGTAAAAGTCTACTTAGACACAGACAGCACTAAGTACTTAAAAGCAGTCAGTACTCAGTACTGAAAGCCCATGTCTCTCTCCTCAGATGGATGTCTGTCCAACCCCTGCTTCCCTGGGGCCAAGTGCACTAGCTTCCCTGATGGAACATGGAGTTGTGGAAAATGCCCCACTGGTTACTCTGGTAACGGCATCAAGTGCAAGGACATTGACGAGTGTAAAGAGGTTCCTGATGCTTGCTTTGTGTTCAACGGAGTGCACAGCTGTGAGAACACCGACCCTGGCTACAACTGTCTGCCCTGTCCTGCACGCTACTCTGGACCTCAGCCCTTCGGCAGGGGAGTGGAGGAGGCCGCCGCCAAGAAACAGGTTAGTAGCATCACCTGGTGGTGGACTAGTGTTGTGATCATAGTCCTGTCATACTGTATATCTGTCCTCAGCTGATTTAGAACTTGAAATTTGGAATTTAGAATTTCGCGTTTGGAATTTACAAGATCAAAGATTGCTTTACAAAGCCACGCTTTTCTTTGTCCAGATCATACTGCCAACTCTGTTGCATGGCGGGCCAGCAGATTGTGCCCTTTTGAAAACCAAGCCAGGTAGCCAAAATATCTCCTGGCTTGTCTGAACAACTCTTCTGTTTACTCCAGGTGTGTACACCACGTAACCCCTGCCTGGATGGGAGCCACGACTGCAACAAGAACGCCCGCTGTAACTACCTGGGACACTTTGCCGACCCCATGTACCGCTGTGAGTGTAAGCCTGGCTATGCTGGGAACGGACACATCTGTGGTGAGGACACAGACCTGGACGGGTGGCCCAACCAAGACCTGGTCTGCGTGGAGAACGCCACCTACCACTGCAAGAAGGTATGCACGTCCTGACTCGTATAGGTTCTTGAAAAGGTCCAGCTTGCTATTTAACTAGTAAATAACACACTTCCCTTTTGAGTGATGTGCCGATGCTGGCTGCAATTAGAAATAACAATTATTTTTGAAAGAAAAACAAGTGGTACATTTAATGTCTTACAGGACTGTTAATATAGTTAAATATAATGTTCATGCTTGTTGACTACATTATGTATATTGTTTGGCCTTATGATGTAACCTTTCTTTTGCAGGATAACTGCCCCAACCTTCCCAACTCAGGCCAAGAAGACTACGACAAGGACGGTGTTGGTGACGCGTGTGACAACGATGATGACAATGATGGTATTCCTGACGACAGGGTAAGTGAGGAATTAATCATTGATTTATTGATTCGTTCATTGAGTCACTGAAGGTCTGAAGTCCTACCCCTTACTGAAATGAATTAATTCAGGTTATGCTACCTCTTGGTTAGTCCGTGTGTGTATGAGTGAGTGTGTGTGTTCAGTTTTGGCAGTGAGACATGAATGTGGTTCTACATTCATCATTCATGAAATAAGGGGAAGGAAAACGAAAAAAAAAAAAAAAAATGTTTTGCCTTCAGACCTCAAATCCCAACACAGAGGTACCACTCTGAACGAGCCGCAGTGTAATCTGCTAGTCCTAACATTATATTTGGGACAGGACCTAAATATAAAACACCCTTTCATCCCCCCCCTCTCTCTCTGTAGGGTACAAAGACCACAGCAAGTTAAAAGCACAGTATCTGAAATTAATATATCATGTCAGAGATGTTTTCCTAAGCAAGGCAGTGGACACTGGACTGATTCTTCTGGTGGTTCTGAGGCTGGAGTAACTGAACGGTGCTCTCTCCTCTCCCTCCCCCCCTGAGAGCAAAGAAAAACACCCTCCCCCCAAAACCCTCTCTCAACCCTCTTCTCTCTCTCCCCTCCCCCTCTCTCGTCGCTCTCTCCTCTCTCTCTGATCTCTCGCCACCCTCCATCTCCCTCTCTCTCTCACCCCTTCTATCTCTTCCTCTTCTCTCTCCACCCTCGGTATCCCCCTCCCCACCCCCCCCCTCCCCCCCTCGCCCCCCCCCCCCCACTCTCTCTCTCCCCTCTCCTCCCTCTCACTCTCCCTCCTCCCCTTCCCCTACCTCTCTCAAATCTCTCCCCCCTCCTCTCCTCTCTTCTCTCTCACAGGATAAACTGTCGTTCGGTACCACCCATGCATACTGACTATGACAGAGATGATGTTGGAGATCGCTTTGTGATAACTGTCCTTACAACAGCAACCTGACCAGACCGACACAGACAGCAACGGGGAAGGAGACGCCTGCTCTGTGGACATTGATGGAGATGGTGAGACTCTAAACCTGCTTAGTGGACTCTAATCTAAGAGACTCTAACCTTGCTTGGCTGTCCCTATTTAAGTCCTATACGGTATAATGTAGATGCTATAGGCTGGTGTTGAATGCAGGCACCGCACCATTCAATGATAACGCTTTGAAACCAAGTGCAAATTGACTGCATGTACAAGCATGCATTCCATTACTAGCTCAACTTACTACGTTTCCATTACCATGACAACTCAACTAAGTCATTTTCCTCACCTTCCTCCTCTTCTCCTGAGTAACAACAACTGTGATTGGTCCAACAGGTATTCTGAATGAGAAAGACAACTGCCCATTCGTCTACAACGTGGACCAGAGAGACACCGATCTGGACGGTGTGGGAGATATGTGTGACAACTGCCCTCTGGAACATAACCCTGACCAGGTGTGTGTTCTTACACTTACGACCCATTCTACACACACACACACACACACACACACACACAAACACAAACACACACACACACACACACACAACACACACACAACACACACACAGATGCATGCACGTACGGGTACACATGCATGCCACTGTCACAAACACTTTCTGTCATTTTAGAAGAACTCTCTCTGTTGCGTGACAGCTGTAACGGGTACCTGTAATGGGTAGCTTTACTGGATAGCTGTAATGGGTAGCTGTAATGGCTAGCTGTAATGGGTAGCTGTAATGGGTAGCTGTACTGGGTAGCTGTAACGGTACCACTGTAATGGAGCTTAATACCGAATGCTGAATGGGTAGCTGTACTGGGTAGCTGTAAGGAAGTAGCTGTACTGGGTAGCTGTAATGTGTTGGAATGGCTAGCGTAACTGGGTAGCTGTAACTGTAGCTGTAATGGGTAGCTGTAATGGTGTAATGGGTAGCTGTAATGGGTAGCTGTAATGGTAGCTGTAATGGGTAGCTGTAATGGGTAGTAATGAGTGTAATGGGTAGCTATGGGTAGCTGTACTGGTACGTAATGGGTAAGTAGCTTACTGGGTAGCTGTAATGGTGTAATGGGTAGCTGTACTGGGTAGCTGTAACTGGTGTCAATGGTAGCTGTAATGGGTATGTTGTAATGGTAGTGTTAATGGGTAGCTGTACTGGGTAGCTGTAATGGTGTAATGGTAGCGTATGGTAGCTGTGGTGTGGTAATGGCTGTAATGGTGTAATGTGGTAAGTTGTATGGGTAGTTGTATGTAATGGTGTAATGGGTAGCTGTACTGGGTAGCTGTAATGGTGTAATGGGTAGCTGTACTGGGTAGCTGTAATGGTGTAATGGGTAGCTGGTGTAATGGTTAGCTGTAATGGTGTAATGGTGTAATGGGTAGCTGTACTGGGTAGCTGTAATGGTGTAATGGTAGCTGTACTGGGTATCTGTAATGGTGTAATGGGTAGCTGTAATGGGTAGCTGTATGGTTGGTAAGGCTGACGGTAGCTGTTATGGTGTAATGGTGTATGGTGTGACTGGGTAGCTGTATGGTTTGTAATGGTTGGTTAATGGGTAGCTGTGAATATGTACTGGGTAGCTGTAATGGTGTAATGTGGTAGCTGTACTGGGTAGCTGTAATTGAAATGGTTACTGGGTGTGTTGGGTAGCTGTAATGGTGTAATGTTTGTGTAATGGTGTATTATGTTATGGGTTAGCTGTACTGGGGTATGGTGTAATGGGTAGCTGTACTGGGTAGGTTAATTGTAATGGGTGTGTAATGGTGTAATGGTGTAATGGTGTAATGGGTAGCTGTAATGGTGTAATGGGTAGCTGTAATGGTGTAATGGTAGCTGTAATGGTGTAATGGGTAGCTGTAATGGTATGGTAGCTGTAATGGTGTAATGGTAGCTGTAATGGTGTAATGGTAGCTGTAATGGTGTAATGGTAGCTGTAGGTCTAGGCTGTATCATACCATGTTAAGGTTGAGTTAAATCCTCTGCAGCTCAGGGGCACTTACAGAAGCTCAATAGGGCATGCATGGGGAGCCAGGCTTTTCAATGGGGCTTTGACATTGGCTTTGACTGCTCAGAGGGAAAGGTGGAGGGATGGAGGGGTAGAGGCCAGGGTGGAGGGTTGGGCCCCGGGCTGGTCGTTATTACCCAGGAATGGGCTCGCCCCTGGCTCTATGCGTGCCCCGTCGGGCGTCGGCACACACACAAGCCCTGTGTGGATCCCACCTGTGCCATGCTAGACTGACAACCAGGAATGTGTTCGGAACAACAGGACTCAGTTAGGGGGAAAATGGGCAGAATTCACACCAATCCAATTCTTCCCTCTCTCCCTCTCTCCCCCTCCCTCCCTCCCTCCCTCCCTCCCTCCCTCTCTCCCCCCCTCCCTCCCTCCCTCCCTCCCTCGCCTCATGTGAGGCAATGACATCTGTGTGTTGGAGGAGAGGAGGAGAGAGGGAAGGAGGAGGAGAGGAGGGGTGTGTTTAGGGTACTTTGATGCAGATGAAAAGCGCCACCAGAAGTTGGACAAATTGATCTTGGCAGGTTTAGAGAGGTGAGAGTGATTGGAGCCTGGGGACAGTCCATTATGAGAGGAGAGGAGGTGAAGGAGGAGGAGAAGAGGAGGAGATATTAGGAGATGACGGGTTGAACGAATGGTACAGCTGGAAATCAAATCAGCATCAGGTGTCATTATAATCACTACTGTTAGTTGTCCGTAGGCACAGATATAGGATCAGCTCACCTTCCCCATGTTCTACATCTTATCTGTAGGAAGGAAACACAAAATGGGCCCTAGATCAGTGTCTAAGGAGATCTACAGTAGGAGACTAGGAGAGGAACTAGGAGAGGAACTAGGAGAGGAACAAAGCACTTACCCCATATCAGTGTCTCAGGGCAACTCACAATATGTTAAAGTAATCTCCACCAACTCACAATATGTTAACATAATCTCCACCAACTCACAATATGTTAAGTAATCTCCACCAACTCATAATATGCTAAATCATCTCCACCAACTCACAATATGTTAAGTAATATCCCCCAACTCACAATATGTTAACTAATCTCCACTAACTCACAATATGTTAAGTAATCACCACCAACTCACAATATGTTAAGCAATCTCCACCAACTCACAATATGTTAAATGATCTTCACCAACAGGTGGATCTACTGTGTTGCAACCGCTAACATTTGCTAGCATGCTAACGTCAATCTCCATTTACCTCTACAGGTTGACTCTGATGACGACCGTGTGGGAGACAAGTGTGACAGCAATCAGGACATTGATGAGGACGGCCACCAGAACAACCTGGACAACTGCCCCTACATCCCCAACGCTAACCAGGCCGACCACGACAAAGACGGCAAGGGAGACGCCTGCGACCACGATGATGACAACGACGGGATCCCTGATGAGAAAGACAACTGCAGACTGGCCTTCAACCCTGACCAGCTCGACTCTGATGGTGAGTTAGATGAAGAATAGGAGAGATACGCAATAAAATTGGAGTTCAATTTCTTATTCAACTAATCAAGTTCTCGACATTAGTTGAAAGTTAGTTTCATTAGCTGCTTCATCCTAAGACATGTTATTTACTGAGCTTTCAATCTTCTTCCAGGTGATGGTCGGGGAGATGTTTGCAAAGATGACTTTGACCAAGACAACGTGCCTGACATCTATGACGTGTGTCCGGAGAACTTTGACATCAGCGAGACAGACTTCAGGAAGTTCCAGATGGTTCCCCTGGACCCCAAGGGAACGTCCCAGATCGACCCCAACTGGGTGGTCAGACATCAGGGCAAAGAGCTTGTCCAGACTGTCAACTGTGACCCTGGCATTGCTGTTGGTGAGTGGATTCGTTGGGTGGGTGGGCGGTGGGTGGTTGGTTGATTGGTGGGTGGCTTGATTGATTGATTGATTCTACGCTTTGGGACATCTCAAAATAACCCAAGCCTAACTAAAAAGACCATCCTCTCACTGACATCTTCTCTGTTTCTCCATTCCCAGGTTTTGATGAGTTCAACGCGGTGGACTTCAGTGGAACCTTCTTCATCAACACGGAGAGAGACGACGACTACGCCGGCTTTGTGTTCGGCTACCAGTCCAGCTCCAGGTTCTACGTGGTGATGTGGAAGCAGATCACACAGACCTACTGGAACAACAAACCCACCAAGGCTCAGGGATACTCAGGACTGTCCATCAAGGTGGTCAACTCTACTACCGGACCTGGAGAGCACCTCAGGAACGCTCTCTGGCACACGGGCAACACACCAGGACAGGTAAGATGGGCATACACGCAAACACACACACACACACAGGAAACACCTCAGGACAACACCACCTAACTCTCCCTATGTTTCTCCCTTCTTCTCTAGGTGAGGACTCTGTGGCACGACCCTAAGAACGTTGGCTGGAAAGACTTCACAGCCTACAGATGGCACCTGATCCACAGACCCAGAACAGGACACATCAGGTGAGCACTGGAGAGTCATTGGCCTGGTGGAGATTTCTGAGACTCTCCAAAATGCCAGTATTTACTGTATGCCCTCGCCCTCTGATGGTTTGTCTCACACGAGTCTTGTTTCTAATTTCAGAGTGGTCATGTACGAGGGGAAGAAGATTATGAAGGATTCCGGGAGCATATACGACAAGACGTACGCTGGCGGAAGACTAGGTCTCTTCGTCTTCTCTCAAGAGATGGTATACTTCTCAGACCTCAAGTACGAATGCAGAGGTAAGCAACAAGGACATTTCTACATCTTACTATAACTCCAACAACAATTGTTTAGTGGAATCTCTTTCACAATACACTTATGTGAAATACCTAACCACATAACTTAACACTTTGTCCTAAGTTAATGCTTAACTTTTGTCCTTTGTTTTTTTTTTAGATGCATAACTGCACGGAGCAGGAAGCTCATGGAATAATGCACCTTTCTGTATAAATATGAACAATATGTATTCAGATGAAAAGTCCAGGGACAGTTTTTTCTGCTACTCTTTCTTCTGTGGTACTCACACTGGAGGGAGCGAGGGGGGGAAGGCCTGGTGTGGGTCAGCCTCAGGGTAAAATGATGCTGGTTTGGAGAGAGAACCATCCGGGTGACTGCCATTCGAAGATCAAAGAACCCCCTCCTACCCACCCAGAGCAGGTAGAGCCCAAAAAAACTGCCCATTTGTTTTGCCCGAGTGAGAGACCAACCGATGTTACCAACCGACCGGCTGATCTCTCTTTGATCTGAAAGACCTCATTCAGCTCTGTGCGGGAGAGGCTCCCGATAGACGACTATGCACTTCCAAACCTTTACATCTCTCTCTCTCTCTCCCTCTTTCTATCCAGCTCTTTTTTTCTGGAAAGGACGTCCCAAAGAAAGACTATGTAATGTTCCGTTTATATAAAAACATATCTAGCCGGATGTAGGTTCTGAACGATACGACTCTGATGATGAGGTATTTGGCTCAGAGGATGAAGAATGGCTTGTGGCCCTTGAAAGTCAGTTGCGTAACAACAAGATATGGAGGACGATGTATGTATGATTTATGTACGTATGTTCATGTGTGTAAATAAGAAGACATATAAAGCTTGCTTTTACCCGTCTATATGTGTTCCCTTGGAGACAAATGTTGCAGAGACAAAAGAAAACAAATCGAAATTAAAACGAGCCAAAATATTTTTTGGGTCAAATACATGATTGCTTGTAGGCTTTGTGGCTGACATTAGATTGATATAATTCAGTTGAAACTGAACATAGTAATACTCAGGGTAAGATGGAAGCGACCATCTTAGCACATCAAACCATTGCAGAAAATGACATGGGAGGGCCATGTAAAAAAGGGCATTTCCGGTGCCAGTAAGCCATTCTGTCTATTAAGACACTTTATATTTCCAACATTAAATGTTACAAATATAATAATAATATGTATTTATTTTCCAAATTTTAAAAGATACAATTTGGGTTAAGATTAGAAACATTGAACAGGCGGATCTTCCTCATCTTTAGAGGCTTTACATTTTGAACTTCTGTAAATAAAAGTCTTAATTTATTCACTCTCGCCTACACTGTAGGTACCAAACAATTCAAAATACTTTGAGGAAGTGCCAGAGTTTTTCCCCCAGTGTTCCAGGTGTAACGGAGCCAAAGTCAGAAGTGGGATCCTACTCTAATCCCATTTTAACCACGGTTAGAACTAGACCACCTCACTCAGTATGGCATGTATGTGACCGGTGTGCCTTTTCTTCTGAGAGAGATTCAAAACAAAGGAACCTTTGACGTACACATAATACCTCATTGCTGTTGTATAATTAATTTGATCGAATAAAAAAAGTGCTTTTTTCATTGTATGCTTACAGAATACAAATTGATCGACATCTTATTGCTACTGTAGCATGAATCTGTAAATAGTATTACTTTTATTTTCAAAACAGAAACCACCCCCCATTCAACACCCCACTGCAGTAAAAATCTGTTTTTTTTATATAAATATTTTATTTTTGCTTTTATGTATGCCCTTTGTCCAGTGCTCTTTTTAATGGATGCATTCTTGTTCTGTTTTGTTTTGTCTTTGCTGTTCTGTGTGTGAGAGATCGATTTGTGTGTGTAGATAAATGCTATTTAAATAATTTATCAGGATTTGCTGCCAGAGGAAGGGGGCGTGTCCGTATGTATAAACGGTTTGCACACTGACATGAGGATGTTCTGTTCTTGATCGTTTTTTGTTTTATTTTTACCGGGGGTTTTTTGTACAATTTAGTGATGCTTGTTGTCTGTAAACATTTTTACTTAGTTGTACAATGCAATTATTTTGTTATATACTATATAAATAGTTGTTGAAATCCATTCTCTGTCTGTATACACGTCTTTTCACTAATCACTATGCATACATTCCATGATTTTCATATTGAATCGATATTTTTGTCTTAGTTTTTTCTAATACTGACTGCATAAAGTCTAAATATAGTGCATTGATTTGCAGCTGAGCCGAGTACGATAACATCTCGTGCAGGCTAAAAGTCCACATAAAAACACATTCAGTCACCATCATGAACATCAACATAAGCACATCTATGTTAGGCCCCAGTTCAAAGACCCTAATGGGGCTAGGTCTATAGACCCTTTTCTTTGTTGCTGTTAAAGACACACATGCCCTCCTCAGGGGACACGTGAGGAATGTAGCATGGTACCTTGATCTGTCTCATCCTCTGAGAACAGGGCTAAAGAACATTGAAAGTGAATGTAAGATTGGACACCACCATGTTATCCCTCTTCGTGTTGCTGAGAGATCAATTATATAAACAAAAAATATTACTCAAATGGAAGATATCTCCTGTACAGACATTGTTGTAAGTTCTGCATGCATGTGTCAATGTTGTGGTGGAAAAGAGCTTTCTCGAGACTAATAGGTTGAAGAACAGACTTAGCCCCCTCAGCTATGGGGCTGTCCCAAATGCTACCCTATTCCCCATTGGGTTCTGGTCAAAAGTAGTGCACTAAATAGGGAATAGGGTGCCATTTGGGTCGGCACCATGGTCCATGTTCATTCAGACCCTTAGTCTGCTGGTCTTGCGATAGAAGAAGCATTGCCACGTAGCCTACACAGATTATATATCAACCTCATGGCTAGGAAGAGAAATGCACTACGTGACCAAAAGTATGTGGACACCTGCTCGTTGAACATCTCATTCCAAAAATCATGGGCATTAATATGGAGTTGGTCCCCCCTTTGCTGCTATAACAGCCTCCACTCTTCTGGGAAGGCTTTCCACTAGATTTTGGAACAGGGCTATGTGCAGGACAGTCAAGTTCTTCCACACCGATCGCAAGAAACCATTTCTGTATGGATGTCGCTTTGTGCACGGGGGCATTATCATGCTGAAACAGAAAAGGGCCTTCCTCAAACTGTTGCCACAAACTTGGAAGCACAGAATCGTCTAGAATGTCATTGTATGCTGTAGCGTTAAGATTTCCCTTCACTGGAACTAAGGGGCCTAGCCAGAACCATGAAAAACAGCCCCAGATCATTACTCTTCCACCAAACTTTACAGTTGGCACTATGCATTCAGGCACGTAGCGTTCTCCTAGCATTCGCCAAACCCAGATTCGTCCGTCGCACTGCCAGATGGTGAAGCGTGATTCATCCACTGCTCCAGAGTCCAATGGCAGTGAGCTTTACACCACTCCAACCGACGTTTGGCATTGCGCATGGTGATCTTAGGCTTGTGTGCGACTGCTCGGCCATGGAAACCCATTTCATGAAGCTCCCGAACGAACAGTTCTTGTGCTGACGTTGCCTCCAGAGGCAGTTTGGAACTCGGTAGTGAGTGCTGCAACCGAGGACAGACCATTTTTACGCGCCAAGCGCTTCAGCACTCGGTGTGTAGCCTACCATTTCACGGCTGAGCATTTTTTATTTTTTTATTTTTTATTTTTTTACTGGGGGTAGATCAGCTTAATATTGCAGATAGATTGTAACTTCCATCAATGTAATTGTCTGAATCACTTCCAATCCCCCATGTTTATATATATATATACACACATATATACACACATACACACACATATACATACATACATATACATACTGTACATACACTTACATACATACATACACATACATATCATTTTTTACAAATATATTCCCCTTTATTACTTTCCAACCCCACCACCATTTCCCTAATTGGAGCAAACTAGTGAACAACGGCTGAGCATTTGTTGCTCCTAGACGTTTCCACTTCACAATAACAGCACTTACAGTTGACCGGGGCAGTTCTAGCAGGGCAGAAATTTGATGAACTGACTTGTTGGAAAGGTGGCATCCTATGGCGGTGCCACGTTGAAAGTCACTGAGCTCTTCAGTAAGGCCATTCTACTGCCAATGTTTGTCCATGGAGATTGCATGGCTCTGTGCTCGATTTTATACACCTGTCAACAATGGGTGTCGCTGAAATAGCCAAATCCACTCATTTGAAGGGGTGTCCACATACTTTTGTATATATAGTGTATATGCATGGTCAGTATGGGGTGAATCCTGGCTTCTGCATCAGTATGTTTTGCAGAATTTCCAATTGACATCAATTGACAATATAGTAACTTGGCCAGCAGGAGAAATAGCCTATATGATGTTGGAGATGCAGAGACGGTATAGGGTGAATCCCAACTTGAGAGACAATACTGACCCGTAATAATTCTTCACCAAAGTTTTTGCCAAATCTCCCACTGACATCCATGCATAACATACACAAAGGTTAGGAGTCATGATTTGACACCTCTGCGAGGGGAGATTTGTTCAGGAAAACCTTGTGGTCATTACCCTTCACAAAAAAAGATTGCAGTTTTTAAACTGCAGTAAAAGTGCAGTAACTGCAGTCGACTGTGATATTTTGGATGCATTAATTGCAGAATAACTGCAGTTATACCGCACTCAAACTGCAATCTTTTTTCATAAGGGTAGGGTATAGAGCGGTGGCAAACCAAACGATTTTGGTCAGAGGAACTGTCCCATTATCACAGTTATCTTCACAGGTCTGTAAATTAGACTCCTTTCAAGTCACAAACCCGTAAGTGTAAGGAATGGGCCTAAACTGGGTGTCTAAATGTGGCTACTGGATCAAAGGTCTTTCACCCTAGAATTAGTGGAACTTCTACAGCTATCTGGTTGGTTTATCCTGTTGTGGGGGTGTATGAAGTGCACTCCCTTACTGATAGCTACTACCCAAAAGCCCTCAATGTCCCTTGCCTCAACAACCACAGTACTGTATCTACAGTAAATCATATATACAGTACTGTATCTACAGTAAATAATATATACAGCACCGTATCTACAGTAAATAATATATACAGTACTGTATCTACAGTTGGTAGAGCATGGCGCTTGTAACGTCAGAGTTTTGGGTTCGATTCC